GGCGGCGGGCCCAGAGTGCTTGCCCCATCTCCAGTGCCCCGTCCCCCATCCCTCATCCCCTCTCGGTTTCCCCGTGGTCCAGTTCCCCGCCCCTCATCCCTCATCCCCTCATCCCCTCTCGGTTTCCCCGCCCCCCGTCTCCAGTGCCCCCCCCCCTCATTCCCCATCCCCGCCCCTCATCCCTCATCGCCATCCGCCCCTCGCCCCTCGTCCGCCGCCCCATCGTCTGCTCCGCAGCCGCGCCCCAGGGCGCCTCAGAATGCTTGTAGAAGCCGCCGAACCTGTTCAAGCCGATGCCGATGATCACGCCTTCGGGGTCGGGCGCGACGGCAGGGCGGATGGGGGGGGGACAGGGGCAATGGAGTTCAAGGAGGCGGGGGGAGAGGGGGGGGGAGGAGTTCCGGAGAAAAGGAGGTCGGAGGGAGAGGCGGAGGGGGGGAGGGGGGGAAGGAGAGGGGGGGATGAGGGCAGGGATAGAAGGAGGAGGCAATCAACGAATGACACCAACGCACTGCCACCAACAAGTTGGCGAATCACTGACAAATCACGGCCCGCGACGCGACGTCTATTGCCCAGGGAGTTTCATCGCAGAGGGGAGGGAGGGAGGGGGAATGGAATGGGGGGGAGGACGGCCTTGGCGCTCGGAGCGCACGCGCTTCTCTGGAAGGTGGCCGTTCTTCACCGCGAGCACGGCGTTGCTCCTGGAGAGGCGCGACTCCCCGAATGTCCCCCCGCCCCGCCCCCTCCCCCCCTCCGTGCCCCCTCATCGTTTGCCTCGTCGTCGTCGTCGTCGTCGTCGTCGTCGTCGTCGTCGTCGTCGTCGTCGTCGTCGTCGTCGTCGTCCTCCTCGTCGTCGACGTCGTCGTCGTCGTCTCCTCCTGAAGGCATTTCTGCCCATCCCGCGGGGGCAGCAATTCCCTCGCCGTCGTCGTCGTCGTCGCGTCGTCGTCGTCGTCGTCGTCGTCGTCGTCGTCGCGTCGTCGGGGGCAGGCGACGGAGAAGGGGCGACCCGACGAGGGGCGACGGGAGCAGGCGACGGAGAAGAGGGGGGCCTCGGGAGCAGCCGCGCACCGCGCACACCAAAATAAGGCCTCGAGCCTCGAGCCCGGCCCAACTGCGAAGCAGTAATCCGCCCCACCCCCAATCCCCCGCCCCGCTCACCCAAGAACCCCCCTCTCGCTCTCTTGCCCTTTCCCCTTGCCCTTGCCAGGCCCCCCCCCCAACGCTGCCCTTCCCATTTCCAAAGTCGGGTCCCGAGCATCCCAACCGGCTGCTTCACGAAGTCTGGAGCCCAGCCAGCGTAGTACTCCACCGGGCTCGGCGTGCCGTCGTCGAGCGGGTTCTGTCAGCGCGGCGCGGGGGGCGACGATGAGGGGGGCAATGATATGGGGGGCGAGGGGGGGGGGAGGAGGATGATGAGGAGGAGGGGGAGGAGGAGGAGGAGGATGAGGAGGAGGTGGAGGGGGGGGAGGAGGAGGAGGGGGGGATGAGAAGAAGGAGGAGAAGGAGTAAGATGAGGATAATGATGCAAAAAGGGGCAGCGATAGGGTCACGGGTCACGGGTCACGGGTCAACCTCGCCCCCTCTGATGCGTCTCGTGTCTCCTCTCCCCCCTCCTCGCCCTCTCCACCCTCCCGTACTCCCCATCCGCCCCATCCATCTCTACGTGCATTCCCTTCCCCCCCCCCCCGCCCATCCACCCAGCGGCGCCCGCGCCCCCCGTGGGCGGGGGCCCGGTCCGTCTGGTTGAACCCGATCGGCACGGGGTCCATGTTGAGCTGGCGCTGACGGGGGCGCACCGCGTTCTGGCACTCGCACTTCCTCGTCTCCTTCTCCTCCTTCGACTCCTTGCACAAGTCGCACGAGCGCGTCCTGGGAAGGGCCCAGGGCCGCCCATTCCCCCCGCTCCTACCTGGCCACTCCACCTTGCTCTGCTCCTCATGCTGCCTCCTCATGCCTTTCCCTCGTGCCCCCCATGTCCACCTCCTCGCCTCCTTCTCACGTCGCCTTGCCTCCCACCTCCTCCTGCTGACCCTCATCATCACCCTCATCATCCTCACCCTCCCCATCAGATGCCGCATTGCCCTTACCTTCCTCATACTCATCCTCCTCACCTTCCTCGTGATCCTCCCCATCCTCCTCGTATTCGTCCTCATGCTGTTGCGTTTGCATGTGCATGTCATTATCTTCCTCATCATTCGCATCCTCCTCCTCATCTCCCTCCTCATCTCCCTCCTCATCTCCCTCGTCATCCTGTTGCCTGCCGTTGCGCCTGCACGTGCACGTCGTCATCCTGATCGTCTTCCTTCGCCCCTTCCTACTCCTACTCCGCCCCCCCATTCCCCCGCCGCGAATCACTCCCCACTCCACTAGGCGATGGGAGGAGAGGGCAGGGGACGATGAGGAGGACGATGAGGACGTGGAGGAGGATGATCATGAAGATGAGGAGGATGGGGAGGATGGAGGATGAGAAGGATGATGAAGATGAGGAAGACGAGGACGAGGGGGATGAGAACGAGGGGGACAGGACAGGGGGCAGGGGAAAGAGGGGGAGACAGTTAGAAGGGGAGGGGATGAGGGAGGGCAGGAGGCAGGAGGAGGGACGATGGGCTCAAGGAGGAGGGGGGAAGGAAGAGGAGGAGATGGACGAGTAGGAGGAGGAGAAGGAGGCAGCGGAGGTCCTGTACCCGACTGGCGGGAGCGGCCAGCCGCCGGCGGGCGCGGCGGCGGCGGGCGCGGCGGCAGCTGCCGCGGGCGCGGCTGCCGCGGGCGCGGCTGCCGCGGGCGCGGCTGCCGCGGCCGCCGCGGCGCCCCCCTCGCCGCCCTGGGCCCCAGCGCTCATAGGGTGAGGGCCCTGGCGGAAGAGCTGCTTGCGTGGCACTGCGGGTTCGGGATTCCGAGGTTCCCAAAGATGGCCCCCCCGAAGCGCATGCGCCGCCAGGGCGGTCGCAGCGACTCGATCGATCGACGTCGCTGCGACTGCTCTGGCGGCCACCGCGGGGGCCCACCATTGGGATTCCCAGAATCCCGAACCTGCTGGGGCCGGAGCGGCGAGGGGGGCCTGAACCTCAAAAGGCTGCCGTCCACTCCTCTCGCTCGCACTCCCACCCTGCCGCCCACTCCTCCCCCCCCCGCCTCTTGCCCTCCCTCCCTTGTTCCCGCTTTCCTCCCGCCCTCCCGCCCCCCTTGCCCCCGCCTGCCCTTCCCGCCCTCTCCTTTCTCCGCCTCCCCCTATACTCGCTTCTTCCGCTTTCTCCGTCCACGGCCTCCCCTCTCCCCCGCGCTCGACTCGTCTGCCTCAGCCTCCTGCCTCTTACTTTCCTCCGCCCTCCCCCACCCCCTTCCCCCCCTCCCCTCCTCCCCCCCCCCCTCCCTCCCCCGCGGCGCGGCGGGGCCGGGCGCGGTAGTCCTCGCGGCCCCGCGGCCCGCGGCGCGGCGGCGGCGCCGCGATCGCGGCGCGGCGCTGCGCTCCGAAACCCCGCCCCCCGCCGCATTCCAATGGCCCCCGTGCCCCCCGAGCCCAAGGAAAACAGAGCCAAAGGATCCAGAGCCCAAGGAAAACATAACATCAACACTCAACACATGTTATGTTTTCCTTGGGCTCTAATTCACAGCCCAAGGAAAACATAACATCAGGGGGTATGGGGGCTATGGGAGCGCGGCCACTGGGCCGCCCTGGGCCACAAGCCTCGGCGGGCGAGAAGGGGGGGCGCGCGAAAAGGGGAGGGAGGGCGAGCGCGCGAACGAGAGAGGCGAGCGCGAGGGGGGGGAGAGGGCGAGCGTTCCCCAGCGGAAGGGGAGGGAAAAGAAGCCTTGGAGCTGGAGGGGCGGAGGTGAGAGGTGAGCGCCCCTGGAGGTTAGGGAGAAGCTGGAGGGAGGGCGGGGGGAGGGGCGAATAGCGGGTCCAGGAGGGCGGAGGAGGGCGGAGGAGGAGGGTCAGAGGGCTGACTTTCATGAAGATTGGCGACTCTTGGGGGAGCAAACACAACTTCATCAAGTGAGGAACGAATGATAGGCCTGTTTTCCACCACCACCACCACCATCACTTGGAGGGGGGAGGGGGCCCTCCTCCCCCCCTCTTCTTCCTCCTCTTCCTCATCCTCCATCTGCTTCCCCCCTCCAACTGATGGTGGTGGTGGTGGTGGAAAACAGGCCCATCAACAAAGGGGCTTGACTTGTCACGGCTACACCCTGCGAGATGCTTAAGAAATCATGGGTTAAGAAATTCATAGTCTCAGAACTGGAATAAAAACCCAACATTTCGATTCAAATCTTAGGATTTACATTGAAACGTTAAGAATAATCGACGCTCTGGCCGAAAACTTAGGTTTTCTTAAGCATCGCCTAAGGTGTAGCCTCGGCTTCGAATAGGCCCACCGAGCTGGATCCACGCACCCGCCCGAAGACGGGAGCCCCTCAGGCCCTAAGCCCAGGGTGGTCCTTACTGAAGGGCCCAAGGACACACAAATAAATACACACAAATAAACATATCCCCCATATTTTCCTATATTTTCTGGGTTTCCGTCTTCCCCCCCACTTCCCATATGTTCCTATATTTTCTGGAGAATCGAGAATTAATTGTGTCTGAGTGTTTCTTGTCCTCCTGACTTACCTCGGCGCCTTGGCTGTGGCAGATCGCCCAAGCGGGGGGGACACTGCGCAGGGCTTTCCGACACTGCTGGTGCCCTTCAGCAACAGAGCGGGAAGGGAAGCGGCAAACAAAAATGCGACTGCGACGGCGACGGCGACGGCGATGACGACGGCGACGGTGACGGCGTCGAAGACGAGGACGACGACGACGACGGCGTCGAAGACCACGACGACGACGGCGTCGAAGACCACGACGACGACGACAGCGACACCAACGACGACGACGACGAGGACGCCGACGACGACAACCACGTCCACGACCACGACCACGACCACGACGACGACGACCACGTTGACGACGCCGTAAACGACAACGGCGACGACGAAGAGCCGCGCGTTGGGGGCGGAGCGGGGTCCTCGAGCACGAGATTCAAGACGAGCGCCAGGACCAGCTCGGCAGAGAAGAAGAACAGGATGGTCCACGCCAGCGCGGACAGGCTGCTCCTGGGGCCCGCCGGTCCTGCTTATCCTGGCTCCTCCCTCTCCCTTCTCTTTGTTGTTTTTTTTTTTTCTCTCTCTCTCTCTCTCTCTCTCTCCCTCCCTCCCTCTCTCTCTCTCTCTCTTTTTCTCTCCTTCTCTCTGTCTCTCTCTCTCTCTCTCTCTCCCTCTCTCTCTCTTTCTCTCTCGCTCTCTCTCTCTCTCTCATAAAATGCACATGCGTTCACCAATCTGGATTGACAAATAGCTTCGCTTTCTCTCTCTCTCTCTCTCTCTCGTGCACACGCTAACATGCATTGGTGATCCGTGGATCTGGCGCGTGGGCGCCAGATCCACGGATCGGGAAACGTATTCCCGAGAAACATGGCGCCAATGCCGCACGACTTGGTGACGGAGCCCGCCCCTGCTATACGGAAACGGGTCCCGCCGCCAATCCATACACCTCAATTCATGGTTGCGCTTCCTCGACTCTCTCTCTTAATCTCTCTCTCTCTCTCTCTCTCCCTCCCCCTCCTCTCCCCTCCCCCCTGCGCCCTCATCCGCCTCTCCCTCCTTCTCCAATGTACACAACTCCTTTGGGAATCCTCCTAGGGGGGTCACGTCTGCAGTACTACCCGCCGGCGGATACAGTGGAGGCCAGTCCACAAGAAACCTTCCACAAGAAACCCAACCCTGAGACCCCAGGGCGTCCATTGACTTTGGGTGGGGGAACGTCACGCCTTCCATAGCAAAACCATCGAAACCGAAGAAACCCAGGGCACCCTGGAGGCAAGCAGGGCGTTTCTTGGCATGGGCCTCCACTGCAAAGAAAAAACTCAGCCCAACGGGGATGGATGGGCGGGAGGGGCAGGGCGCCCGATCCAATCTGAGGCGAGCGAACCTGGTTCGCCTTAAGTCGGGCGTGTCCCTCTACAGGGGGAATGCTCAGAAGTGGTAAAACCAGCTCTCTGGGGAGGATCTGTCCACCCTTCTCGAATATGGTCTCAACATGTCTTGCCTACCTGTCCGTTCTCGTCCACCATCCCCTCGTGGGGGCACACGCCCGCCCCAAAAGCTTCGCCCCGCCGCCCCCCCTGGGGGACTCGGCGGACACACCGCCGACGAGCTGACGCACGGGCCGCCGAGGGCGACGCCGCACGCCCTCCCCGGCGGGGAGCACCGCACCGCCGCGCCGCCGCCGGCGCTCGCGGGGCGAGGGGGGGGGCCGCTGCCCCGCCCCCGTCTCCTCCGCGGCCCTCGGGCGGCCGTGCTCGGCTCTCCGGCGGCCGTGCGGGAGACGAGCCGCGGATCGCCCTCGGATCGCCCCTCGACCCGGCGCAGCTGCTGACACGCAGTCCGAGGCCGGAAGGCCGCCAGGAATGAAGGGGCCCTGGGACACACAAATAAATACACACAAATAAAAGGATCCCCCATATTTTGCCATATTTTCTGGGTTTTTGTCTTCCCCACCACTTCCCATGTTTTCCCATATTTTCTGGGGAGTCGACGATTAATTGTGTCTGTGTGTTTTTTTCCCTCCTGAAGGAAGGGGTCGAACACCTGCGGAAAGAAAAGCCCACCGAGCCTGTGCCCCCTTGGGAGGCAAATCCTGGGAGGTCTTCGTCGGAGCAGAGCTGTGACTGTTATAAGTCCGAGCAAGGGGCCCCATTCAGCCCGATGGGGCCGGCTGGATCCTGGGATTGTGCCGGATGCATCGGGATGAAGACGTGCTGATCGGGAGAAAGCCGGATGAAGCGGGATTGAGCCAGATTGGGCCTTCCTGCGACAAGGGATATACCAGCGCCGACTCGGAATCCAATCTCGTAGAATCACGTCCCGGGTCCCCCAAAACGTTGCCCCTGCCTTTCTCCCCCGCAGAGGGGGGGGACCCCCCAACCTCAAAAAAGGTCTGCCACAACGCCGAAAAGAAACAACTAATTCTCTGTCGAAGGGTTGCCAACATCCAAAAATATCGGCTATCAATTATGCAGCCTACGCCGTCGCCGTCCTACTCAAGACAGGGCAAACGGGGGGACGCGCGGAGTTGACTGCTGATGGCTAGCCGAAGAGCTTTGGGGGGCAGCATGAGAGGCCTCCCGAGGTTAAGGTGGAGGCCGTCGGTGATGGAGCACTACAGGGGCCCAGGGACGCAAAAAAATACACACAAATCCCACTATTCCCCACGTGTTCTCATATTTTCTGAGCTTTCGTCTGCCCCCCCACTTCCCATATGTTCCCATATTTCCCAGGGAGGCGACGAATAATGGTGTCTGTGCGCTTCTTCCCCTCCTGAAGCACAACCTCTTGCAGATCGCCCCGCGAGCCCCCCGGCGGAAGGACAGGTGGGAGCGAGGGAGCCTCCTCCTCCTCCCCCTCCTCCTCCCCCTCCCCCTCCCTCCTCCTCCCCCTCCTCCCTCCTCCTCCTCCTCCTCCTCCTCCTCCCCTCCTCCTCCTCCCCCTCCTCCTCCTCCTCCTCCTCCTCCTCCTCCTCCTCCTCCTCCTCCTCCTCCTCCTCCTCCTCCTCCTCCTCCTCCTCCTCCCCCTCCGCGGGGGAGGCATGGCCTGCGCGGGCAGCCAGCCGCTATACCCCCTTTGCCGGCCGGCCGCGCAGGGGGGGGGCTTCCCGGGTCGGCGCGGGGTCCACCCCGGCGCCAGGTCGGGCCTGTCCTCCCACAGGCGGGGTGTGGCCGAAACGTTCCCTAAGGGCTTGTCGACTTTTCGCCAATCGACTTGTGAGAATCGAGCCAGATAAACCCAGGTAAATGCAGATAAATCGAGATAACCAGGTCAATCCAGGTAAATCTAGATAAATCTGGGTAAATCCAGGTAAATCCAGGTAAATCTCCAGGGAAAGTTCGAGCACTTCGCGGCCGCTCCAGCGCGAGTCGAAGGACGGCAGAAGTCGTTAAGCCTTTAACGAAACGTGCAAAAAGGTCAAACCAGATTCAAAAGTGATCCGCGAACAGTCGAACAATCGTTCCCAGGTTTTTGTTGTTGTCGGTACTCTATGTGTGAGCATTGCTCCTGCAGAGGGACGTGCCCGACTTAACCCTGGCGGCGCATCCAGCGCCGGCCCAGGAGATCATCGGAGGGAAAAACACACAGACACAACGAATCGTCGATTCCCAGGGAAGGATGGAACAAAATCTATGGGAAGTGGGGGGAAGACGAAAACCCAGAAAATAGAGAAAACTGTGTATTCATTTGTGTCCGAGGGCCCCTTTACATCAGCGCGTACCCAACAAGGCTTGCGCTGATGGGTTCGCCCTGTGTTCTAGGGAGCTGGGCTCCACGGCCGGGTCCGCCGCCTTGTCATCGCCGTCGCCGCCCCGTCGCCGCCCGTCGTCTGGACTCCAATACTTGTTGTCGCGGTCGCCACCCCGTCGCCGCCTCGTCAGCGCCCGTCGTCTGGGCCAAAAAGCCGACTCCGCCGCCTTGTTGTCGCGGTCGACCTTCCGTGCCACTTTGCGTTACTTTGCATTGCTTTGCGTTACTTGCATTGAATTTCATGGGCTTCCGTTGCTTTATTTGCATTGTTCTGCGCTGCTGTATACTGACCTGCGTAGATTTGCATTGTGTTGTCTTGCGTTGCAGTTATTTGCATTGCATTGCTTAGCATTACCTGGCATTGCTTTGCATTGCTTGCCCCTGCTGTTCACTGCTTCACATTGTGTTGCATTGCTATGCGTTGCTTTGCATTGCCTGGCATTGCTTGGTATTGCATAGTTTTGAATGGCCTTGCATTGCATTGCGTTGCATTGCTTCGCATGGCTTTACATTGCTTTGCGCTGCTTCCATGGACTGCACCACCTAGATTGCACCGCGTTGACTGCACCACTCAGATTGCACCGCGTAGATGACAAGAAACCACGGCACGCTGGCTAACTTTGCAAGTTCCGACTTTCTGTTATCGAGCGACATCCTCTGGTGAGATTCCTGGCGGAGATCCTCACGCCACTGAGGTGCCCCTGGGTCTACGACGGCGAGCCGCTCTGTACCCGCGGAGCGTGGCGCGAGCAAGACTCCGGCGCATATTTAATCTGGGGGTGGACCCTCAGGGGCTTGCTGCGCTAAGACTTCTGAGAGGCGATGTTACGATTTCGCCGAACATGTTACAACGAGAAACCGTCGTGCCAACATACCTTTGCGGCATCTCCGCAGAAACATGCGATGCTCAAACCAGTTCCAGAATGGCCAGAGGAAGTGCGCAATGATTGCTGCATGGACGGGACTCGCGGGGAGTGGGATCGACGATACACGAACGGACCATTCGTCCTAGCTGAACACATGGCATCTCACTGTGCCGATCAAGCTTGAAAGCAAAGGTCTGATGCGCCCCCCCTGACGGACACATGTCTTACTTGGGCAAGTTGTTCGAGCACTGCTTACTGCATGAAAAATGGTTTGCTTCGCTCCGCATGGACGCCGTGATGAGGTAGACAGACTCGTACGCCCGATCGAACTTGCTGAGCCTCAAGAACCGAAGAAGAGGCCGCAGAAGGCGGGACATGCGGACCATCCTGGGGTGCAGCAGGCAACATACTCAAAATATGTACCAGAAAGGCTAGGCAGCAAATAAGTAGCGTGTTTCGGCTTGCTGCACTCGGTTGGACTTGTCTGCCGGCTTGCTGCACTCGGTTGGACTTGTCTGCCCCACGAGCGAAGTTGACGCAATACGGTATCGAGGAACACACGTTCGCGATCGGGGAAGAATATCAATATCCAATTCATCGCGTACGGACTCCCCAGTCGAGACTCCATGGATACAGGGCGGCTATGCGCGTATGCCCCAGGCGGGACGTGTCCATAGGACATACCGCACATATAATCGAGCCTCGGTATCCAGACCGCGTGGGCATGGATATGGATATGCTCGTCGCTTGTGGAAAAGACCTCATCGCGTAAAGAAGCCGCACAACATCCCCTTGGCAATCGGAACACACTCTCGGAACGCTAATTGGCTGAAACATCGGGGGAGGCCCTGGGCTCCGATGAGGTGATAAATACGGTTCGTGCTGTCCAAGACACGTGAGGGAACGCCTCGCGCTCGGGCTGAGTGTGGGAAGCTTGGGCCAGGGCGACATAGAGATACCCCTACTTGCCAGACTTAGGTCGGGCATGCCATCCTGCAGGCGGATTCAGAAGAAGAGTACAAATACCCCACAATTCTCAAAAAAGAAAAAAGGAAAAAACGTCCCCAGACTATGTTTTTGCTACCCTCGGATACTCCTTCTGTCAAGGGGCATGCCCGAATTGAAGGCCAGACCTCTCGCGGGGTGCGTTCTGACCAGGACTCCGACGGGGCCGTCGCGACGAGGGCACGCCCGCAGGAGGCCCGGAGGGGCAACGGCGATGAAAGCATCGGCCTCGGTGTGTTCCTAGGAGGCCTCCCGGGTCCTGGATATCCTGGATGGGGGCGGAACAGACGTGGTCAGAAGGTCGCGCCGCCTCGCCGATACCTCCTCCGCGATGCATCGGCGATGCATTAGCGATGCGTCCGCGATGCGCTGGCGATGCATCGTCGACGTCAGCGGTGCATCGGCGACGTCGACGTGAAGCACATCGAACTGCACATCGAGCCGTACTGGCGATGCATCGGCGATGCGGCGCGAACCTCCGACCCCATCTACTCCGACCCCATCGAGGAGACCTAGGGTTTCTCTCATCTGTGGACCTGGGCTTGAACGGGAGGATGGAGCTGAACACCTTCTCCAACACCCAAGACGCGGTGATGGCCAGGTCCAAGCAATTCCACGGATCCTCGAGGATGGCATGTTCTTCATGTGCATTGCAGGACTGCTGCAGGGGAAGTAGCTCCTCCTCCTCCTCCTCCTCCTCCTCCTCCTCCTCCTCCTCGGCAAACCGAATGCACGACCCACGACACGATGTGAGCTGGTCGAGAAGCGGGTGTGCCCCACTCCGCGCGATGGCGGGGCGAGCGCCGCATGCGAGCTTGTCCGCATTCGAGAGAGGCGGGGAAAAAGAAGAGGCCGGCCGCGAACCGAGCAACACATATAAGCAGAAACTGCCGGAGGCCCGCGCGAATATGTGTTGGGTCGGTGCTGGAGCCCCACTGGGCGACGCCTCGGGCATCTGCACCGCCACCGGCGCGCTCCTCGCTCCCAGGGGCGAGGGCGTCCAGAAGCCGACGCTTAAGGGATCCGCGCGGACCTCCGAAGGGGCTGCGGATGGGGCTGGCTTGTTCCGCGACCAGGCCGTGGCGCTGGAGTGGACGCCACCGCCCCACCGAGCTGGCTCAGACGCTCCCGAACCGGACACGCCGGGAAAGGGACGGGCCAGGGCCCATCCTGGAGGGAGAGGGGCAGGCCGCCGCATGTGAACCCCAACCCCTGCAGGTGAGATCTTCCGACACGGCGGCCGGGGTTCAGAGATCGAAGGATGTCTGCAGCCAGGTGAACCCCAAAGGAGGCGTCCGATACACCAGCGTCGAGTGGACCCGTGGGGGTTGGGTTCGCAGGCGGTCGACGAAGAGAGCGGTGACCATGACCAAGACTGCACGTGGCAAGGACCCTGTCGATATATTGGCCAGCGCCCCTCTCGGCCATCGTCAATTCGTGTGGACCGCCCTTCGCGAACAGGGCGACGGCTGGCATGGACTGTGACCAGGATCGACGTGGACGAGATCCTGCGAAATCCCAGTCATGGTCATCGCGCTGCGCCCCTCGACGCCTTCGCATCTCGTCAACATCTCGGCATCCCATCTGCATGGCGCCTGCTGCACTCTCGGGCACACCAGAGGGTACCGACACCGCTACCCCACAGACCTCTCCCAGGGAGCGTTCTGACCAGGATTCCGAGGCGAATCCAGCAGTGGCGACAGAGGCCCCCCAGGAGGCCCAAAAAGGGGGAAACGAGGCAAGGGTAGCGATATGGGTACCTTTTCCTCCTCTGATGATCAACATCTCAGCATCCCAGCTGCATGGTGCATGGAGCCTGCTGCACCCTGCGCCCACTGCCCCAGAGTGTAGACAAACCACCCTGCGGAGACATCGTGCACGCCCGATGCGTCGATGCGCTGCGCCCCCGGCACAGCCCGACCCCCGCCTCCCCCCAAAAACACGCTGTCCTTGAGATAGCGGCGCCCCAACGCCAGGATCTTGAGCGCGATCTCGAGCGTGAAGATGGCGCCGAACGCGAAGTCGCAAAAATCGAACACGGCCCTGGCGCCCGGCCAGGTCTCCTCGGCCGGCCTGTCCGACCCCGGGACGCCCAGCTGGTAACCCGACTCGATGCCCTGGTACTGCGCCCTGAGCCCGACCGCTCGGCCGCGGCTTCCGATGCCGATCGGGCGGCCCTGTCCGGAGCACGGTGCCTGACGATCTGTCGGGCCGATCGCGGGGCCGAGGAGCCCTGCGCAGAGAGTCGTCTCCAGTGGGACTCTTTGGAACTCCGTGCGGAGCCAGAGACATCGACAGAGACAGCCAAGGCGAGAACCCAACCCGAGACGGGGGCGACGCAACGCTCGGCAAAAGCAGCCCCCCGCCATGTTTGCCACCGCCGTCCGACCAGGCCACCAGGAGAGGAGGAGGAGGAGGAGGAGGAGGAGGAGGAGGAGGAGGAGGAGGAGGAGGAGGAGGAGGAGGAGGAGGAGGAGGAGGAGGAGGAGGAGGAGGAGGAGGAGGAGGAGGGGAGGAGGAGGAGGAGGAGGAGGAGGAGGAGGAGGAAGAGGAGGAGGAGGAGGAGCGCGTGGCTGTGGGAGGCGTGAGGGATGCTGAGGACGACAGGGAGCGAATGAGAAGGATCAAACGACACGCTGCGGCGCAGCTTCCCCCGTGCACTGCCCGGGCCGCCGGTGCTCTGCATTCTTGCAGATCTGCACGAGCGGGCCAAGGCATCTCTGCTCCTCCTCCTCCTCCTCCTCCTCCTCCTCCTCCTCCTCCTCCTCCCTCCTCCCCCTCCTCGTCCCCCTCCTCGTCCCCCCCCCCCCTCCTCCTCCTCCTCCTCCTCCTCCTCCTCCTCCTCCTCCTCCTCCTCCTCCTCCTCCTCCTCCTCCTCCTCCTCTTCCCCTCTCCAGAACGTTACAGATACATCACAGCTCAGAAACGGAACTGGATAGGTCGACGCGCTCGAAGCCACATGCGATGAACCGCGAGCGCGACGGGTGACCCGGGCCAGGGGGCGGAAGGGGTCAAGTGCCAGGACGAGCTTTGGCTGCATTCAGGCCTCCGTCCTTTGTACCAGGAGAGCCTTCGCACACGAATAGGCAAGCGAGGTGGTATAATCTCGCAGCTGCTTCAGCGGTGCCTGCAAGGTTGCTGTACCACGGGTGGTTGTACGAGCGGTAGCTACCATCTCTATGTCTACCTCTCGGTTTGTTCGTATGTGACTGCATGCATGGCTATATAATCTTCTATATGATTGCGTCGTTCGGCCTTTGACCCACTGTGAAGCGATAGTGCTGAAAGTAGGCTTAGCAGAGGTAGCATTCCAGGGGTGTGCACCAGAGCGCAAGGCGGCCGTATCATAGGGGACAAGCGAAGGTGTAACTTCTGATGGTTGAGCTGAGCGCAGCCCTACCGAAATTGAATCCGAAATGACTGTCTGCACTCACTGTGCATGCGACACGGGTGTATGGTAAATGACCTTGCCAGAGGGGATTGTAGCAAATATCGTTGTCAACGTGGGCTCCAAAACATATGGCATCTATCATGTATGAGCATGTATGGTCCTTCTACTAAATGTGTTTGTCTCGATCGTGACCTCCGAGCAAAAAAAGTGGCCAGCGCTGAGGAGAGATCGGAATTCTGGGATGTGGCTGGATAAGTCGCAGGTGACGCTCCTCGTGGTTTTGGATGGGAGGGCGAGGAGGAAAAGGATGGAGCTGGATTTTGAAGTTGGCACGGGATAAGGAGCATCTTGAACTACGAAGGAAGACAACGAAGAAGAGAGGGACGCGGAGAATAAGGATGAACTGAGTGAAACGCTGAGCGAGGATGTCGTTGGGCCTGCACGTCTGAGCATGTGCTTCCCTGGAGAAACAATGTCTCAAATGGTCTTGCGTGCTGTTTCTGAGTTTGTGTGTGTGGGGCCTTCCGGATTAAAAATCGGTGGCTCGTTGACGCCCGTGTGCTCTTCCCTCCGGCCTCCCACAGTGGTCTCCAGCGTGTTCCCCCGGATGGTCTCCCGAGCGGTCTCCCGTCTGGTCCTCCTGGTGTGGCCTCCCATGATGTGGACTTCGGTATGGCCTCCCGCATGCCGTCCCGTATGCTCTCCCGTAAGTGTGGCCTCCCTCCTTTTTGTTTGTGTCACCCTCCTGCTCCTGTCTGCTGCTGCATGGGGCATGTTTAACGCGTCTAGACAGCTGTATAGACATGAGCCCAAAGGTTCAGTCAACTGGCACCGGGATTCAGTCGGGCCTGTCCCCCTACAAAGGTAATTTCCGACGAGAAATGAAACATTCCCCAACAAATCAACAAATACTCCAAAAATAGTCTGGGGACTGTTTTTGCAATATGTGTTGACCACTTTGGAATATGTTTTGGGTATTTTTCATTTTTCATCGACAGTCCCCCTCTAGAGGGGACACGCCCGACCTAACACCAGGAGTTGCTCAAAAGCTCCCGGATTGACTCCCGAGTAGGCTCCCGCACGGGCTCCCGCGTGGGCCCTCGCGTGGGCTCTCGTGCGGGCTTCCCGCAGCCGCCGCCTTCCGCCCAAAAAAAATGCCTTCCTGTGAGGCCTCCCGCGTGCTCTCCCGAGTGGGCTCCCACAGGGGACATCCTCCTCCTCCTCCTCCTCCTCCTCCTCCTCCTCCTCCTCCTCCTCCCATCAGCCTCGTGACGAGGCTCCTCTGGTGCAAGCTGCTCGCGTAAGCCAGTCCACAAGAGACCTTCCACAAGAAACCCCGCCCTGAGACCCCAGGACGTCCACGCATCTTCGGCGTGGGAGCGTCGCGCTGTCCATGGCAAGATCCTCGAACCCCAAGAACCCCCCCGTGAACACTGGAGGCATGCAGGGTGTTTCTTGGCATGGGTCTCCACTGCACAGTCGAATGCTCTCTTTCTGCTCTTGAATTATGCTGTTCGGGTTTTCGGCGGCCAGGGCGCCATCTTTGAGGTACGATCGGGTGCTGGTGGGTTCTGGGGCCACGCCTTTCTTGCAAGTGGTTATGGCGGGGGGCGGCTTTCAGACCACGTTTGTCAGGAGGGCTGAGAGCCCGACGCATTGCAGAGCAGGTTCGGAAGCGCGCTCCTCGCAAAAGGGGGCAGGCTACCTCCGGGAAGGACGCGCGCAGTACAGTGTGTGCCCTCGAGAGGTGGGCGCCATCGTGTGCTTGAACACCGCGCTTCCGACCCCGAGAGCTGAGCGCAACACGGCTTCGAGTGATCAGGGCTGGAGCCGTTGCCTGCGGGGAAGACGGCCTCGAAGCCAGTACGCATGTGCTGGGCCGTGTGAGACACGCGTTTGCCCACTGGGAGGGGCTGGATCCAGGCGCGCAAAGCTCGAAGGCTGGCAGGAGATCGGGCCGCGAGCGTTCGCGAGGGCTGAGGTGCCTCGCCCGGGAAGGCCATGCACCGCACACGTTCTTGCGAGTGGGCTACAGTCGGCCCGTATCACAAGTGTGCGCGATCAGGATGCAAGGGCCCTGGGCGCCCATTTCGAAGCCTTTCGAGCGGGGCGCGGCCAACGAAAGCGGCCAAGGATGGGCCGAGGCAAGGATGCAAGGGCACCCTTGGGCAGGTCGCCCATCCTTACTGTGCGGGTCGACTGCACTTCACGGACATTTCATGACAAGGACTCGAAGGAAAGGCCACGGCATCGAAAGGCTCCGCGCCTCTGCTGGCCGGAAGCGACTGGAGGGTCTGAACCGGAACTAGATGGGCCCCGGGGGGGGCAAGGGCAAGTCCGCTCAAAATCGGTCCCGGGACCCCTCATGGGGTCCATCTGGTGAGTTTTTTCACCCAAATCTGTTTTTGAAGGTCCTCGGGCTCGAAAGCGGCCCAAGAAGGTCAAAAAGCCCCCCCCCCCCCAAAAAAAACGCCTCGAGTCCAGGACCTCGAACCTCGCCACCACTCCTGCAGGCCGGAACCAGTGCTGGGCCACCTCAGACCCCCAGCCGAATCCAGGGCCAAGGCACGGCAAAAGGCTCCATGGGCCCGCGCCCTTGCTGGCAACTCGGGGCGCTCCTGCGCGCCCAAAAGCCAAACCGATCGGGCACAGCCGAGGCCGCGGCTCCGCAACCACGATGAGCACGTTCAGCACGATCAGCGTTGAGAAGAGCATCTCGGAGAACTCGCTCGTAACGAGGCCCAGCACGTGCCTGCACCACGACGCGCTGACCAGCGGCGCCTCCGAGGAGTCCGCGGAGAAGAGCGAGAGGTCCTCGGGGCCGCGACGGACAAGTGTTGGGTCGGGCATCTCCTCCCACAGGCAAATGTTGGAAGAACAATGCAAAACATATATATAATATATATAACTTTATATGTCAGAAGTGGCACAACTAAATCAGATCGTCCCCAAACTATGTTTAAACTGATGTTTGAAGATTCTTCCTGTACGGGGACGCGCCCGACTGAAAGCCAAGCCCAGAGGGCGCCCACGGGGCGGCCCCACCGGGCGGCCGCCGGGCGGAAGCCGACGAGCCGCAGCGGCCTTCGCGCCGTCTGGAGAGGCTGGCGGAGCGCCGTCCCGCGAGATCTCGCGCCCCGACTTCTGCTCGCTTCAGGTCGGGCCTGTCCCCCATACCGGGGGGATCTTGGGCGAACCAAAAAAATGAATCCCAAAATACACCCAACATGCCCAAACATAATAATAATACTCATAGTAATACTACTACTACTACTACTACTACTACCACTACTACTACTACTACTACTACTACTACTACTACTACTACTACTACGACTACTACTACTACTACTACTTCTACTACTACTACTACTACTACTACTACTACTACTAATAATAATAAAAATAATACTAATAATAATACTAATAATTTTAATAATAATAAAAATAATAATGATACTACGAATAAGAATACTACTAATACTACTACTACTACTACTACTACTAATAATAATAATAATAATAATAATAAGAATAATAATAATAGTAATAACAATAATCATACTAATAATAATAATTATAATCATACTAATAATAATCATACTAATAATAATCATAATAATAATAATAATAATAATAATAATAGTAATAAACATCGTCCCCAGACTATTTTTCTGCTTTGTTTGAACATCCCCCCTGCAGAGGGACAGGCCTGACTCAGTGCTCGCCGCGGGGCCCCGCAGTCCGAACCCCTCCGCCGGGGCCGACCTTCCAGCCTGCATCGCTGCTCGACGTCCCCATCCAGTCAACCCGCATGGTCATGACGCGCGGTAAGGATGCAGGGGCCTTGGGTCGCCATTTTGACGCCTTTCGCGTGGTGCTGGCCAGCGAAAGCTGCCAGCGATGGGCCTACGGGGCAAGGATGCAAAGGCAACCTTGGAAAACCCGCTCATCCTTTCTCTGGCGGTGGACTGCAGGGCCCAGCGAGGGCCCCGAAGACCGGGAAAGACCTCGGGTGCTGCTCTCCATGCGCTGGAGCTCCAGGGGCCTGTGCACCGCACCGGTCCCGGCTGGGCCCCGCCTGGCACCAGGGAGTCGGTGCGCAGGCCCGGCCTGGGCGTGGCCCGAGGGACGCGCACACCGGTCGCGGGCCCAGGCCTGGGGCCCGGCCAGGGTGGGTGCAGGGGAGGCGCCGCCCTCTGCAACGCGGCCGCGTCGCGGAGGCCCAGGACCACACACATCCCAAGGGAAGTCCAAGGCGAAACGTCGGGCCCGGCCCACCGTGGGACCTGTAGGCCAGAGGCCCCTCCAGAACAGGAGGCCCTCCGCAGGCCCGAGCTGAAAAACGTTTGAGGGTGCCCTCCCCCAGGATGCACGAAAGCATCCCGCAAACGCGGAGAACACAAAGTAGTTACCCTCCCCAAGCTGGCCTCGAGCTTCTACCTTGGCCCGACTGCACGGACACGCCTGGTGGCACGACAGGCCCCGGAGTTGTCTCTGGAGACGTTCGGGGGGCTCTGCTCTGGGCGGCGCCAGCAACACAAGTCAGGAGGGGCGAGGGGGCGAGCTCGGCAGTCGATGCCCATCTGAAGAAGGCGGCCCCGTGAACAGTGGTGCCCCACCCCATCTGTGCAGGCTGGAACCAGCGATGCCCCGCCTCGGCCCCCCCAGCCGGCTCCAGAGTCTTCGAACCAGTGGAAATGGACTGAGGAGGAGGGGTCGGCGGCCGAGGAGGAGAAGGAGAGGGCGGAGGAGGAGGCGGAGGAGGAAGAGTAGTGGAAGGATGAAGAGGCGAAGGAGGAAGCGGAGGAGGACGAGGTGGGAAGAAGCCTGGAGCGAACTGGCGCGAATGTCTGAACGCGGCGCACGCCCCAGGACATGCCTGCAAGAGAGGACCTCTGCTGCTGTTGGCCCCTGGTCCTCCGCAGGCGGTTGGCACACTTCTGCTGTACCATCCTCCGTGCGCCCTGTGGCGGAGAGAGGAGGAGGAGGAGGAGAAGCAGGAGGAGAGGACGACGAGGAGGAGGAGGACGAGGAGGAGGAGGAGAAAGAGGAGGAGGAGCGAGCGAGCGAGCGAGCGCGCGAGCCATAGAGCAGGGAACTGTCCGAAACAAAACCCATGCTATGAACTAGCAAGGGTGAAAGCAGCGGCCAGTAACCTGAGGAAGCCCGCTGCTAAAAGCCAGACGAATTCAAGTGGGTGGCAGGTTGGTCGCGGGTGGGTCGCAGGTTGGTCGCGGGGTGGGTCGCGGTTGGGTCGCGCGTGGGTCGCGGGTGGGTCGCGAGTGGGTTGCGCGAAGTTCGCGGGTGGGTCGCGGGTGGTTCGCGGGTGGGTCGCCGGTGGGTCGCAGGCGGGTCGCGCTGTGGTTCGCGGGTGGGTCGCGGGCGGGTCGCGGGCTGGTCGCGGACAGGTGGCGGGAAAGGTCGCGGGTGGGTTCACGGGTGGGTCGCAGGGTGGGTCGCGGGCAGGTCGCGGGTTGGTCGCGGGTGGGTCGCAGGCCAGGTAGCGGGCGGGACGACGACAACAGTCAGTCAGCAAACAACAAACAACAAACAACAAACACCAACCAATAACAAACAACCAGCAACCACCACACCCACCACCACTGATCACAACAATGCCACCAACAGCAACAGCAACATCAACAGTAACACAGACAACAGGAATAACAGCAACAACAGCAGCAACAACACCACAAGCAACACGAGAACTAACAACAGCAACAACAACACACCCACCAACAACAACGACAACTGCAAAACAAACACCAACACCAACACCAACACCATCAACAACAGCAACACCATCAACAACAACAATCAGTTTAAACCTGCTCGCTCTCATCTCAACACGTATATCCCGAATCCTCGATACCCACCCTCTTCGATCGTATTCCCTTGGGGGTGTATCTTTCTTACCTTCAACGTGTAATTCGTGCAGCCCGTAAGGCAGGGGAAGAGAGAAGACGCATGGAAGGAAGGGACAAAGGGGAGAGAGAAGGATGGAGCATGAGAGAGAATAGCAGGTTGGGGGCTAGGAGCAGAACACACGTGGCAGAACCAGACGGGCAGATCGGGCGGGTAAACCCTAAAAGGCGGGCCCAGGCGGCCAAATCGAGCAGGCGGGTTGCTGAAGCGTGCGTCCTGCATGAATCGCGAGAGAACCTTGAATGACAACGCGATTCCAAAATAAATCCCGGGAGAAGATCCAGACCGAGAGCGTGATTCCTGAGTGTCGAGGGCGCGGCGCCTGAATCAATTGCGAGGACATCCAAAGCGACACCGCGGTTCCCGAGTGTCGAAAGCGCGACGCCTGAATAAACTGTGAGGGAGTATCAGGCGAAAGATCGACTCTTCGATAACTTGCAAGGAAGTTCCAAACCAGAACGCGATTCTTCAATACATTCTGAAGAACTATCAGGCGGGAACCGTTGTTGTTGTAAACCGGGGGCCAGGGGCATAGATTGAGCAGGAAGACCTCCCCTGGTAGAAACACAGCGAACCCCGGGAATGATACTTCAATCGAAAAAGCACGTATGTTACGCGAACGCGTGAGCCCTGCATAATTCGCCAAGATGTCTCGGGCGAGAGCGCGATTTCTAAATGACTTATGAGGAAATCCCTCATCGAAAGAGCGATTCCTAAATGGCGAGGGAGTGGCGCCTGAATAAATTGCGAAGACGTCACATGCGAGAGCGCGGTTCTAGGATTAATTGCAAGGAACTTCTCAGCAAAGCGCGATTCCTCACTACATTGAAACGGACGGGAGCCGCTGTTGTTGTAAACCAGGGGCGAATGGCACAACGTGAGGAGGAATCTTTTTCCGTGACGAAAGAAATGGTGCGAGCCCCGGGAGGGGCACTTCAAATGAAACAAACATATGTTACTGGGGGGATCAACAATTATCCTGGCGAAGGACCCAACCATATGCAAATGTGAATACCGCAGGGCAGGTGGGACGAAGCAAAAGGAATTCCCAATGTGGCCACGAACCGTGTGAGGGGTTCGCCACAATGGGGCGGGGCCGCCATGCGAAACCTACCACTGAGGCCTTCGGTGGAGCTCCCTATGTCCCTGCGGGGCCACGAACCGTGTGAGGGGTGCGCCAATATGGGGCGGGGCCGCCATGCGAACCCTGCCACTGGGGCCTTCGGTGGAGCTCCCTATGGGGCCACGAACCGTGTGAGGGTGCGCCAAAATGGGGCGGGGCCGCCATGCGAACCCTGCCACTGGGGCCTTCGGTGGAGCTCCCTATGGGGCCACGAACCGTGAGGGGTGCGCCAAAATGGGGCGGGGCCGCCATGCGAACCCTGCCACTGGGGCCTTCGGTGGAGCTCCCTATGGGGCCACGAACCGTGTGAGGGGTGCGCCAAAATGGGCGGGGCCGCCATGCGAACCCTGCCACTGGGGCCTTCGGTGGAGCTCCCTATGGGGCCACGAACCGTGTGAGGGGTGCGCCAAAATGGGGCGGGGCCGCCATGCGAACCCTGCCACTGGGCCTTCGGTGGAGCTCCCTATGGGGCCACGAACCGTGTGAGGGGTGCGCCAAAATGGGGCGGGGCCGCCATGCGAACCCTGCCACTGGGCCTTCGGTGGAGCTCCCTACCACGAAAACTAAATGCGAACCCTGCCACTGGGGCCTTTGGTGGAGCTCCCTATGGGTCTACGAACCGTGTGAGGGGTGCGCCAAAATGGGGCGGGGCCGCCATGCGAACCCTGCCACTGGGGCCTTCGGTGGGGCTCCCTATGGGGCCACGAACCGTGTGAGGGGTGCGCCACAATGGGGCGGGGCCGCCATGCGAACCCTGCCACTG